TATAATCCAATCACCTCCCACCAGGCCCCTCCTTCAACACATGGGGATTGCATTTCAGCATGAGATTTGGGTGGGGACACAGAGAAGAACCATATCACTAGGTGCTGCTGGTGCTGCTGGTTGGGTACTACACTTTGAGAACCCCTGAACTGGGGCATAGGATGCATGAGGAACAGATTGAGATGAGGTTTATTCCGTTGGCTCCTGAGTGTCTGTCATGCCAGTCTATGAAGTTTTAGGCTTTACTCTGTTGGCACTGGGATGTTGAGGGAATATACACTCGTAGTTGTGTATTAGGAAAATAAACCTGGCAGCAAGATGATGGAGGGATTCGGAGGGAGAAGAATGAAGCCTGACAATCCAGTTGGAAGGCTTGTAACAGCCAACAGCCTGGATTCGGGAAAGTACAGACTGAAGCAGAGCAGCCACACTGACAGTGAAGAAACAGAGGTGAGGAAGAGGAAGCAAATGCGGGCAGAATTTCTGAGGTCAAATTCAGAAGCCAGAGTGGGGAAGAGGAGAGAGAAGAACTCTATGGTGCCCAGGTCCCAGGTCTGAAAAATAAGCACTGGGGTCAGGGACAGGCCCATGGCAAGCAGTGACAGTGTGGTTTCTGATGGCTGCATTTGAGGACAGAGACGGCCCATAGGCTGTTCAAACCCAGAGTTTAGTCTGGAATTCGAGACACTGTTACAAGGAAGGAATCATGTAAGCAACGGTGAGAATGAAGACACTAGGTCCAAGGACAGATCCTAGGGTCACCCAGCTCAGCCACCAGGAAAAAAAGGGACAAAATAAAAGCCAAGAACCAAAGGAAAAGAAGATTAAGGGGAACAAAGCATCAAATGCTACAAGGCATTACAATGATAACTGGAAAAGATTTTTCAATGAAAAACAATATAGTGAAAGTAAACTGTCAGGGAGAAAGGGCCTGTTCCAGCGTCAGCGCCTGCCTGTGGTGACTGAGGGGACAGCATTTGACCCTGCATTGAGAGCCTTATGTGGGGTTCTTGCTTCCCCACTCAGCCTGTGAGCCAATAGCAGGGCCAGTGCAAGCCCTGTCCTCGCTCTCTAGCAACCTGTCTGCCATCCTGTAAGGGACTCAGAGTGTGTTGAGAACAAGGCCCCCGGGCCTGGCATTCATGGTTTTTGTCATCACGAAGCTCAGACGTTGGCAGCTGCTCATCTCACCAAACGCCTGTGCACTAAGGAACGTATTTTCCATAAAATCCCAGATAGGGTAGAGAATAGCCGAAAACAGACTGCTTGTGGTTTAAAGCTTGCCTGTGATCACAGGTCTCACACAAGCCTCTGTGAAAGGAAACGAGGAAACACACAAGAGAGCGTTGGAGGGACCGTGTTCTCCCCGACATCTGCAGCCCACTCAGGCCCAAATCACTCAGGCAGGAGCTGCAGGACAATGATCAGTGGGTGCTGGAGCATGGAAAAGGGGCTTTGATGAGGGCCATACAAATAACATCAGAAGTCTCATGAACCACCACAGGCCACTAAGATTAGTTGAAACTGCAAGGACAGCCAAGAAAGACCCATAGAATTCTCCATCCCTTCTACCCCGAAACACAAGCACTTACATGTCCTACATGCAGCACTTACATGTCCTACAAGGTGTTATTATGCAAGCCCCTGCCCCCCTCCCCTCCCCCCACCGCTGCCCTTCAAATAGCCCCTGAGAGGTTGAGAAGATAAAGCACCACCAGGAAGAACTAAATGACGGGCCCAGAAGCTGCTATGGGTACTTCGGTAGTAGGTACCTGTCTGTATAGCCCACCCAGCGGCAGGGAGTTCAAGGGCAGACTCTGAGCTGGCAGAGGAAAGGGGAGGCCAGGCCAGAGAAGTCAGCATCTCTCCTTTATGCATTTCTAGCATCCTTTCCCCTTCTTATGGTAACAGCACCCTATCACATCTTAACCCAGATGGTTTGGAGTGAGCTGCCCTTCACTCCAGCTGGCAGTAGACCCAGGAATATCCAGACCGTTTCATACCCCTTGCTACAGTGATTGGTGCTGAGTTGGGCATAGGACCCATCCCCGACCAGTGGGCATCAGACACTGACTTTTGCAGGAATTGGGGGGAGATCTCTTTTTCTACTGGAATTATGAGCAGGGAGAGAGCCCAAGCTGCTGGTGGTTCTTGCCCATCCAAGAGGAAAAACAGAGTGAAAAAGGTAGGGACACACATTCCTAATTTGGAGGAAAACTAGCAAATCTACCCATGCTTAAAACAAACTCCACCTGTAAACTCTTTAGTTACATGATCCAGGAAATTCCCTTCGGTTAATGAAAGTTGATAACATTTCTGGCACTTGTACAAAAAAAAAAATCTGACCATTACACCAGGAAAACGTATAAGCTCAGGCTTAAAAGCTCAAGCACTCCTCAGCTCAAACTAAAGCACCCCTAAGTCATTGTGAGAGTAAAATGCAATGACTTTTGTATATGCCCAGTGCAGTCTCTGCCACACTCAAGAAATTCTGGACACCACCCCTGTCCTCTGACACCACCACAGTCCCACAGGGCAGACAGACAAAAAAATGAGGTATCATGTGATAGGAGCACTAATAGAGATGTGAACAGGATACCAGGGGAGCCTGGAGGAGGTGAAGGAGAACATTGTGGCCAAGTGCAGAGAATGTCTGCTTAATTAAATTGAATTGAATGGAACGGCATTTTGCCTGTCTATACCCATGAAATCATGACATGTTTAAAGCCCCCATCAGCTGGCAAGGTAGGAGAGGAGTGAGCAGAGACCACCATTTATTGAATATCCACTATGCAGCATGTACTATGTGCTAGATTTTTGCATCCAATCCTCACAACAACCTAACGAAGTAACTGTGAGCACTGCTATTTTATACATGAGGAAATCAGGGCTCAGAAGGGTTCATATTCCCCAAACAGGAAAATCCAGGGGAAAGTCTAGCTTCAGGAATGGCTTGGTTCACAGACTCACACAATGTTGTGAGACCCTGGTTTCTTTCCGTCACTCACTTTTGCCTTCCACAGTGGCTTTGGAACCTTCACCTTGGGGGTTCATAAAATTGCCTCTACAGCTTCAGGCTTCCTTTATCCTTTCTGCCTGAAATAACTAGCAAGAGCATACCCCTACCCCATGGTCCCAAAAGATGCATTCTAGTGCCTTATCATCTCTGACTGGATCACATGCTCAATCCTGAACCAATTGCTGTGGCCAGAGAATATGATGCTTTCAGTGCCCAGGATGAGTCAAAACTTGAGTTTTCGGAGCTGAGAGTTGGCTCAACTCCCTCAAGCGCGTATAGATAGAGTGGAGTTGACAGTAGTAGCTCCTCAGAAGGAAATTGGATAAATAGATACTGGATGATACATACAGTGAAGTTCAAGACAAGTCTTTCCCTCCTTTCTTCTGCAATATACTTTACTTTATGACTATAAGTCATCCAAATAGGTAGCCCTGGAAATGGTTGAAAAATCACAATTTTAAGTATTAAAGTAGCAATTATACTGGCTTTGGGTTCTCTGGTAGTCCTGAAAAAGAATATGGATGTAGTGGTACATGAAGCACAGGGCTATAACTGCATCTCTATTTAGTTCCAGTCTCCTAACCTCCTATTTAGCATCCCCGTCTATCAACCTTAAAATTTACACATACGGCGGAGCCTAGGGCAGCAGTCCTCAACCTAGCTGTACATCAGAATCACTACTAGGGCTTATATAAACACACGAACACCAGACCCTATCTTCTGAAGATCCAGAATCAATATATCTATTCCAAGAACTCCTGGCCTACAGTTTGCTAAACCTGGCAGGAGCATCGAGGTTTACATGCTATTTGCTAAATCTGCAAATGACTGATTAGCTCCCATTTACTCTAGACAAAGGCTGAGAAGCAACGGATATTGAAAGGATATTGACATAGGTTACAAATGAAGCCAACACATTCGGTCAGAGCAGTCACTATTAGGTAGTGTTAGGGGCTGCCTGTCTCAGGCTTCACTCCTCTTCCCATCCTGAAATTCTTTCTGTATGTTGTTCTTCTACAAACATGATCTTTGATCTTAGCATCTATACAAAAAGCTTCTGCTCACCAACCCCCAACCATTTAGTTTGAAAACAAATAAAACTAGACTGTGGGTAGTTCAGATGCTCCCAGCACACCTGACCCTGCCTCGTTTACCTGGGGAAACCAGTCCAGAAACAAAATTGCTGTTGAAGGAATGTCACCAACAGCAACAAGATCACCAAATGTGTGACTATTGTGCGTATTTTAGAAAATACTTTTTCCTAAATAATATTATTTATTTTATAACAACTTCGTGGAATGAAGATAATGGGGAAATTATCCCCTCATTATCTTTTCCAGACTTTGAGATCAGAAAATAATTTCTCTCTCCTCCCAATCTGGCATGTATCTCTTCATTAGATGGTGAATATCAGACCTCCTGGGTATTTTCATTTATGCCTTAGCTTAATTTCCAAGTACCCAAGACTAACTGAACACTTAGCTTTTGTAGCCCACTTGGCTGGGGTTTGGGTATTATTTCTCCCCATCCTCAGTGTAATATCTGATCTTTTGTCTCAATAGTCTTATTTCTTATGTACCCTCTGTTACAACCTATAAAAGTCTTCTTTGGAAATGAATAATGTAAACATTATCGATAAATAGAGGTATGTGGTGTTTATTTTTCATTTATTCATCAGCCAGAAAAGACTTCTGCTTTAACTTGGTTCCAGACCCTCCCCGGTGCCTTGGCTAACTGTTCATATCATGTGAGCCCTCAGCCCTGTACCGCGCCCAACAAGGCTTTCATTGACTTCCCTTCCCCCTTTTTCTCCAACTCCGATTTTCCTTTCCCCCTTTTCCAACTTGTGAAGTAAACTTTGCTTCAGAGGAAAACCCTGACCAAACACCTAATTTCCCTCTGCATCCTAAAAGAGCCTCAGATCAAACAGAACAATTAACTCAGCAAACAATACCATTAGTCAAGCTCCCTCTGTACCCACCAGCCTGAAACTGAAGAAATGCCGAACAAACACCTCTTGGAGCATATGGCGGCAGGGAATTGCAGGCAGAGATTTTATGGGCCTCTCAGCGCGCCTACTCCAGCTCTTTGGGAACCAGACTATTTAGCATATGTCACTGTTCCCAGCTGCCTTGGGGCCTTGGCTGGGGACCACAGCCTTGTGTACTTGTGTACACAAGTGACAGCATTCAAAGTCAGGTACGGATGAGACCGGCTTCCACAGCACTGCAAACCCGGAAGGACTCGGGCTCCTGGGGCCTGTCCAGCGGAACCCAAAAGAGGAATACACACACAAGGGTAAGCTTCCCCCAGTTATCCGAGAGCCTGACGCCTCACTTACTTTCAGCCCAGTCTGGGAAACTTCTTGGGTACTTACGCAGAAATGGAAATTCATTGAAAATCTCAATGTACCATAAGAAAAGTCGTCTTTACAGAAATCAGAAACTAAAATGACCGATTAAGGTATCTTGTCCACCCCCTATCAGCACGAGATTGGTCCCTGAAGAGCTTCAATAGTTCATTTTTAAATAACTCCAACAATGCATTTTTCTATCACAGAACTGCCTGGGAGACTGTTCTAATAGATTTCATTCTTAGAAAGTATACCCAAGATCCATCCTAATTTCTCCATTTCATAAGCTGCTCCTTGTACCATCCGAAATGATTCCAACAGCTCTTGCTGCATTCTCTCTGTGAGGCACTTGGCTGTAGCAGCCTTGTCATCATGTAGTTTGTAATTCTTTCTTATTTTGAAGAGGGACTGATTGATAGATTTGAAATTTGCTAAGTGCCTGTATGGTTAAAATATACACAGTCTCATAAAGCTGTGTTCTGTGGTGAAACAATCAGAAATCAAAGGGTTAAACTGAAGCAAGCATGATGTAAATTAAAGCAGATAGAGGTGCAAAGCATGGGATCTGACCAGCCTGGGTTCAAATCCCGACTCCACCACCTGCTTAATGGTGTGTGTCCTTGATATGTTATAGCTCTCTGGGCTTCTGTTTCCATATGTACAAAATGGCAAAAAATATTGCCTATCTCAGAGCATTTTTGAAAAGATTAGGTAAAAGATCAAGGATCTGTCATAGAGTAACAATGATTAAGTAGTATCATCATTATTTTTTATTCTTTAAGTGGCTTAGATGCTAAAAGGATATACTAAGAGCAAGAAGTTAGGGCAACTCATTCACACCCAGAGTAGAAAGCCACAAACATTCCTGTTTCCTGAACCAGCTGCATACATTTGCAACACTAGGCTGAACCTCTCAGGAGGAATTAGTTAGGGAGATAAGATGTCCTCATATTAAGAGTTAAACAACATGGCCAGGTGTGAAGACTCACACCTGTAAATCCCAATACTTTGGGAGGCTGAGGCGAGAGGATCGCTTGAGGCCAGGAGTTCAAGACCAGCCTAGGCAACATAACAAGACCCTGCCTCTACAAAAAAAAAAAAAAAAATTTAAATTAAGCTGGCATGGTGGCATATGCCTGTAGTCCCAGTACTCAGGAGGCTGAAGCAGGAGGATCACTCGAGCCCATGAGTTTGAGGCTGTAGTGAGCTATGATCGCATGACCACACTCCAGCCTGGGTAAGAGAGTAAAACCCTGTCTCAAAAAAATAAAAATAAAAAGAGTTAACATGACAATGAGATGGTAAGGTAGAGTCAACTAAATGCCAGGTAAGTGAGGAAAGGAAGGATGCAGGTCATGAACTGAGCCCAGAGAGACTTCATCTGGACTTGTCAGGGAAAAGCCAATGGCCTCCAAGCCAGAGGTCTACTCAGAGCCCTTAGTGCTCACTTCTAGGGATATAGTCTCTAGTGCAGCATTGGGGTATTTATCTGTAGGAAAAGATTAAAGTGGTATTAGATTGTTTATTTAATCAGATGGTCAGCCCAGCTAACCCTGTGTATTCGTTTAGGGTTCTTCAGTTTATAAGTGATATATTAAAAAAAAAAAAAAAAACCCTCTAAACCAGCTTAAGCAAAAAGATGAATTTATAGAATTGTTACTGGGTAGCTCCCAGATTGACCAAGCCTAAAAGAGCCCAGACGTAAGAGTAATGTTCAGGAACACTGGAACCCGGGAGATGGACTTCTTCAGGACTTGCTCTGTCTCTCAGAGCTGGAAAGCTGGAGAAAAATACATGAGATGTTTTAAGAAGGCTTGAATGTATGCCAGCATCAAAGAAAGTTGACAAGCAGCTGATTTGACTACAAAATCACAGATAGACTCAGAAATTGGAAGCATCAGCTGCTTCTGAAGGTGGGGACGAAACAGAAAACACTGGACTAAATATCTTTATAAGAAGCATTTTGACACTCCCACATGCCCAACTTCATCATAACACAAAGCTGAACATTTACTCTGTGCTGAGGTCTGGAAAAGTTGTGGGCAGGGCTGCCATGGTAAAAACGGGGAAATTAAATACCAGGTGACATACTGAATCGGGAGCCTCCTTTTCATACCTGGCTCCCAGAAATCGGGCAACCCTGATTATGCCTCCTGAGCAATAGGTTGGCACTTGCCTCACTGACAAAATAACCAGTCCAGCAGACATACAGACCCTGATACAGTGACGTCTACCATCAACACATACAGCCCAGGCAAACACTGCTTCTGACCAGTGGCCCATTCTTAAATACCAACTGAAAAACAAAGATCACTGGACATTTGAGAAGGCTTCTGTTGTCCAAAACACAATGTGAACTAAACAGAAAGAACGTAGAAGGGGAAATTAAATAATTGAGACTCTCAAAGTGAAAAAAGAGAAGATACTGTAGGCCCTAATTTAAAAAAAAATACACAGACCAAAAAATTAGCTCATGGAAATTATAAATATGATTGCAAAAATGAAAAAATTCAGTAGAGTAGAATATACAGTAAGGACATCACTAAGGAAGTAAAAGCTAAAATTAAAAATAAATAGTCACAGAGGAAAAAGAGGAGATTATAAAAACTTACATAGGCCGGGCATGGTGGCTCACACCTGTAATCCCAGCACTTTGGGAGGCTGAGGCAGGCGGATCATGAAGTCAGGAGTTCAAGACCAGTCTGGCCAACATAGTGAAACTCTGTCTCTACTAAAAATACAAAAAAAAAAAAAAAAAAAATTAGCCAGGCGTGGTGGCAGACGCCTGTAATCCCAGCTACTCAGGGGGCTGAGGCAGGAGTATCGCTTGAACCCAGGAGGTGGAGGTTGCAATGAGTGGACATCGCACCATTGCACTCTAGCCCAGGCAACAGTGTGAGACTCCATCTCAAAAACAAACAAACAAAAAAACAAAAGGCGACAGTGCGAGACTTCATCTCAAAAACAAACAAACAAAAAACTTTCATAAAGGAAAAAAAGAGTCAGGTATTTAAATGGCAATCAATTGCTCAAGGCTAGAGTGTAACAGGATAATGTATTCAGAATCCTCCAGGGAAGTGATTTCCAACCAAGAAATCTATACACAGCCCTACTATTAATTATGTATATCTATGCAATTTTGGTTAAGACAATTTTTGTTCCATTCTCAAAAACATCTGGATTTGTATCTAAGTTTAAAATTTCTTAGCTGTGTGACCTTAGGCAAATAGCATCCCCTCTCTGGGCCTCATGTTGCTCATCTATGTCACAGGGCTGTGAAAATTGAAGAGACGTTGTCAAAATGGCAAGGAGTGCAAGACTTGCAGCATCTCAGGTAATTCCTTTTCCCCACCCCATTTACCTCTGTCATTATCATCCTCATTTTCTCTGTCATCCATTATCTCTAACATCTCTGCTATTACTCACCAGCATTCACAACAAGAATTTGGAAAGAGATTACAATTCGGAGACTAGAAACTCACCTAATAGCTAAAATGGGAGGACTGGCTGAGCATAGGAAGGTCCTGAGGCAGTAGTGGAGAATTTGTTCAAGGAGATTGCTTTCTTCCCTTGGAAACCTTTACCTGAAATGTACAAGGCTTACAGGACAGGGGTTTTATTTGAAACCTGAGGTCAAGAAATGACTGAGGAAGAGATTGCTTTATTTTCAGGATTTTTGTGAGCCAGTTGTTAAACATAGCCATTATTTAAAAATTAAATTATAAAACTTACAATGAAATAAATTATATAAAAAACAAAAGTAATTGATACTACAAGCTCATTATTTCCTAATTATTTGACTATACTTTATAATTATCTATGTTCTTGGGCTTACTTATCATATCTGTTATTATCTGCATGTACATTAAGTGATATCATGTTGAGAGCTGACAATCAGCCCTGATAAGAGATTTACATCACAAAAATCAACAAATGCTACAAATCAGGACTTTTCTCAGAAAGACAGTTTTTAAACGTTCACCAGCACATCACTGGCTGGGGATTCAGAGTACCAGATTCCAAATGTGTCTGGTTTTCCAAAGGTTCAATGAAAATATATGTTTTGGCAACCTCCTCAGAAAACTTTCATCCCCTTAAATATGATGATTTCTACTAACCAACAAACATTGGAATGAATAAACTGTAGGGAAGGAAAAGCTTTTTCTCTACTCTCTTATGTTCCATAAATGGAGCCTGTGAATTAAACTGACAAAAGACAGACTAACACAAGAAAAGCATACAAATTTTATTTAATGTTAATATTTTATGTGCATGGAGTCTTCACAGAAAAGAAGTGAAAAAACAAAAGAAGTGGCTAGACTTGGGGGCTTATATCCCATTTTAACAAAGGATGATAAATCATGGAGAAGTGACTAGTCAAAGGAGAGGGAGTTTGGGCTTCTAGGAGCAGTAAATTGTGGGAATGTAAATATATGGAGGAAACTAATGGTAGATAAGAATTATTCAGTAAGGTTTGTTAATGCAGAGTCATCTAGGTGTGGGCCCTCTGTCTCCAGTGATAAGAGTTGCTTTTCTCATACTAGTACAGGAGAGGGGGGCAAATTTATGCCACCATCACAAAGGGAAATTTATGTTCTGCTTTTAGGAAGATAAGGGGAGGGTAGAGAGCTCTTCCTGTGTCTACTTTTTCTCAGTTGCCTTCAGTTCAAAATAATCCTTATGCCGAAGTGGCATGTTTTGGGGTGACATGTCCTGATCTCCTTTAGAATGAATGAATAAATATCCAGAAAGCTGCTCTTAATATGCAGAGCTTTCTTTAACACATGAAACAGACTTCTAAAACCATATAATTCAAAACATCATCCATGAACCAGCAGCATTGGCATCACCTGGGAATTTGTTAGAAAAGCAAAATTTTAGGCCCTTTCATAAGACTACTAACTAGGAATCTGCATTTCAACAAAAAGTTTGAGAAGCCTTACTGTAAATGTCAGCCCTGGCCAGATAGTCAGAATGCTTTCCCTTCCTGCCTGAAACTCTACCAATAAGAAATCCATTGCAATTAACAGCCTTTAAAAAGCCAAATACCTCTGGGTGGTTTAATGACCCAGCCCTAAGAATAATTTGTTAGAAGAGATTTCTTTCTTCCCTTTGAACCTTTACCTGAGATATACAGTGCTTACCGGACCAAGGTTTATTTGGAAAAGACAGAGGAAAGCTAAAGGGAAGATAATGCAGTCACTCTTGGAATCACTGCCATAACCTAATGCAGTTTCTTCCTTCTTTTCCCCCCTACAGTCTATTCTCCCCTTAGCAGCTAGACCAGCTTTTTAACATGCAGATCAGATTGTGGAATCTCTTCCCATTGCATTGAGAATAAAACCCATACTGCTTACCTGGACTAAAATACCCAGAAGAATATGCCCTTGTGTTCTGTCAAGCCTCAGTTGTGCTGGCCTGTCTCCTGTCTGGGTGCCAGAGGCTTTCTCTGCCTTTAGGCTCTATACTTGCACTTCCCTCTCCCTGAACTCTCTGAACCTGGCTGTCCCGGCCAGTTCTTCCCTGACTAGCTCCTTCTCACTCACTTGGTCTACGTTTAAATATCTCCTTTCAGTGAGGCCACTGCTGACCACCTAGCCTCCGCTGTCACTCTGTCACATCACGTGCTTGATTTTCTTTATAGCACTCATCACCATTAGAATGTGTCAGACTCATTTGTTTGCTTTTTAATTTCCTGTGTACCTCAAAACACATAAACTCATGCACAGTCACAAACTGAGTATAAGCTCCACGAGAACAGGGACTTTGTTGACACTCAGGGACTCTGTTGACAGGGACTTTGTTGCCTGGCACAAAGTGCTCAATCAACACTGTAGAGCAGATGCATGTGTGAACTATCGATTGCAGGACAAAGTGCTCCACCGTCCACCACCACCAAGGCCAGCCCTGCACCACCCTGAACAGGAAAGCAAACTGTTTTGCTCTACCTTTTTCTGCTTCTTACACTCTGTGGCTGGTCTCCTACTCCCAGAACACCCCTGATATTGGTATTATGGGTGTTCTACTGTGACAAAGTTTGAAGAGGGTTCCATGAGGCAAGCTAGTTTGAGAGCTTAGAAATCTCAATGATGGCAGGTCCTAGAGTGGTTCTGACTCAGGATGCCAGACCTGTCTCCAGAGACTCATGGAGATGCCAGAAGTCAATTTTTTAAACCATTAGATGCTCATGAATACCTGATTATGGCAGGGTCTTTTGTGGGAGGTCACATTACTGAAAGTTTGCTTGCTAAGTGAGAAGTCCAAGAAAGAAGGCTTTAAGGGTGTGATGCCCACCCCTACACACACACACACACACACACACACACACACACACACAGAGAGAGAGAGAGAGAGAGAGAGAGAGAGACACACATTTGTGCATAACTATTAAAAAGATGGGATGACTGTGCAGGAAGACACAGCACCAGCCCCCAAGGCACTGCTCAGGGCTGAATGGTCCCCCTGGGTGGGCCTCTGTGACCCTCTTCATCTGGGATTGCATTGCTGAGCAGGTGTCTCCTAACTGCTGGGTCATTTCTAGACACAGGTTCAATATGTTCAATACAGCCACCAGGACAGGGTACTTTTTTGCCTCTTTTGTTTCCTGTCCAGGCATCAGGCCTCTCTCCGAGGACAGCCTACGTGCCTCCATTTCTAGGGCTTTGGGGATCTCTTGCTGTAGCTCCCAAGTACCAGCTACTTGCAGCATGGTGGGATCACTAGGCTTTTGTAGTCTGCCCTGGGAACCCATCTTGCACTTAACCTATTACTTATATAGGAACAGGTACTCTGGGTTCATAAGAATCACCGACATAAATTAAAAGGCACTGTATTCTCTATATACCTGTTAACACTGTATCTCAGAGGTGAAAATCCCATGGGGCTTTAGCATCCTTTGTGTCTTCTATCTTCATATTTTAACATTGTCATAAACAATGTAGACAATTCTCTTCTTCCTTCCTTCCTTCCTTCTAAGGAAGTCTTCCTTGTTTCTCCATTTCAGGCTTTTGCCTTATGAAGTACATACTTTTAGGGTATCTGCTTAGCCCCTGTCTCTCCCCACTTTCTTTAGGATTGTCTCTCATCTATTGACACGTCCACTAGAGTAACAGGAGAAAGTGAAGGCTACAGAAAGAGAAGATGCACAAAACAACGTGAGAACATATCATCCTGTACCCTGTGGGCTTCCAGCTCATCCTTAGAGCTTGCCTTCCTTGAGGGCCACACACCACCACACATCCTTTAGTAACAGCTCCTGTGTGAAAGGGCTTTCCTCACTGGTAAACAGAATCAATCTGGGAGACTACTTCTTCATCCTCCATCCCTCTCTGCTTCAACTGGCTTTTCATTCCTTCCTCATTTTCCTCTTTTGGGCCCTTCCTCGGTCTTTTTGCAGCCATCATAAGGCCCCTGGGATGAGCAGTCAGCCCCTGGCCATCCTTACCTCAGGGATCCTAGCTGCCCGTGGGCTTGAAGCAAGGGTCTCAGAGAGAGGGGTCAGGAAGAAGAGAGTACCGAGGGGTTCCCCAGATCTTCTGCTGCTGGAGATGTGCACAACTGATTCTGTGGGAGAAATCATATGCCCACTACCCACCCTCAAATCAGGGACATTTGGATCTTTGGGAAAGGGGCTAAGAAGAGGTGGGCATGGGGTCTTAGACACAATCTTGAGGGAGGTCTTTGCCCATTTGGTAATGATGGCAGATCTGGAGAACCTAATGTACTCCACTTGGGGGAAGGGGCCGGAGCCAAACCCCTCATTCTCAGGCCTGACTCCTCCTCACTCCTGCTCCCTTCCCACCTCAGCCACCCCTTTCACCAGCTCTGGCCTCCAGCATCTCCTCCCTACAGGTCACCCCCCTTCTCCTCCCCAATCCCAACTCCATTTAAACACAACAGAAGCAAATTATTTATGAATAGCCCTAATTTACAATGCATCCATAATGGCTGGGAAGACACCGATAATTTATTTAATGAGCAAAGACATATGATTCACAAACAATGATTCCAGTCAGAAATTGGCGTCATTAATTTTCTGTAAGCCCTCTGTTACGATTCAGCACCCAGGGAGTGCCTCAGACCCACAAATCTCCTGAGCACTTCTATTACTCCAGCCTGAGCCCAGCTCAGGTGCAGGTCCAGCACCATCACCCTGCTCATGGGCCTTGCCACCTAGCCATGCTTAGCAGTTGCCCCCACACAGCCTGCTCTCCAGAAACCTTGCCAACCTGCCATGCAATTGATCTACCTGTGTCTGTTAATGGGAGATCATGCCAGGCCAGACATTCCTGAGGGCCTTGACCCACAGATTCCCAACCCACCCACAAGTATGGGCCATAATGTGGTCTGTGCCAGCCACCAGAGCTCTACTAACAGGTCACAGACCAGGAAACTGCCAACATGAGCCTGGCATTAAGACATTATGGATGTTTTCGGCATAAGGCTAGCCAATTTTCCCAGAACCATTTATTAAATAGGGAATCCTTTCTCCATTGCTTATTTTTGTCAGGTTTGTTGAAGATCAGATGGTTGTAGATGTATGGTATTATTTCCGAGGACTCTGTTCCATTGGTCTATATGTCTGTTTTGTTACCAGTACTGGACCTTTTCCTTACACCTTATACAAAAATTAACTCAAGATGGATTAAAGACTTACTTAAATGTAAAACCCAAAACCATAAAAACCCTAGAAGAAAATCTAGGCAATACCATTCGGGAAATAGACATGGGCAAAGACTTCATGATGAAAATGCTAAAAGCAATTGCAACAAAAGCCAAATTTGACAAATGGGATCTAATCAAAACTAAAGAGCTTCTACACAGCAAAAGAAACTATCATCAGAGTGAACAGGCAACCTATAGAATGGGAGAAAATGTTTGCAATCTACCTATCTGACAAAGGTCTAATATCCAGAATCTAAAAGGAACTTAAACAAATTTACAAGAAAAAACCAAACAACTCCATCAAAAAGTGGGCAAAGGACATGAACAGACACTTCTAAAAAGAAGACATTTATGCAATCAACAAACATATGAAAAAAACCTCAACATCACTGATCATCAGAGAAATGCAAATCAAAACCACAATGAGATACCATCTCATGCCAGTCAGAATGGCGATTATTAGAAAGCCAAGAAACAATAGATGCTGGAGAGGCTATGGAGAAATAGGAACGCTTTTATACTATTGGTGGAAGTGTAAATTAGTTCAACCATTGTGGAAGACAGTGTGACTGTTCCTCAAGGATCTAAAACCAGAAATACCATTTGACCCTTTGAGTATATACACAAAGGAATATAAATCATTCTACTATAAAGACATGCACACATACATTTATTGCAGCACTATTTACAATAGCAAAGACATGGAACCAATCCAAATGCCCATCAATGATAGACTAGATAAAGAAAATGCAGTACATATACACCATGGAATACTATACAGCCATAACAAGGAATGAGATCCATGTCCTTTGCAGGGACATGGGTAGAGCTGGAAGCCATCATCTTCAGCAAACTAACACAGGAACAGAAAATCAAACACCACATGTTCTCACTCATAAGTGGGAGTTGAACAAGGAGAACACATGGACACAGAGAGGGAAGCAACACACACTCAGCCCAGTTGGGAGGTTGGGGGCAAGAGGAGGAAGAGCATTAGGACAAATAGCTAATGCATGCGGGGCTTCAAACCTAGATGATGGGTTGATAGGTGCAGCAAACCACCATGGCACAAGTATACCTATGTAACAAACCTACACATTCTGCACTTGTATCCCAGAACTTAAAATAAAATAAAAACTAAAAATTAAAAAAAAAGACATGACAGGTGTCGATATTTTCAACTGCTAGACACCTAACCTTGAAAAACAGACATGCGTCCTGTCCATGTGCCCCAGGGTCTTCACCTTGGGATGGGGAGGGGGAGACAGAGATCATGAAAACTCTGCCTGAGCTTCAGTGTCCTAATTCCCCCTTCTCACAGAACACTCAGCGTGACCTCATCTTTCTTAATCACCTAAACATATGTGGACTACAGTTTGTTGCCCACATGAATTTTAATATTTTTAATTTCGTTATTTTATTCAATTTATACAAGCATATGGTTAAAGAAAGAAACAGTTCTACAAAACTCATATTCATACAACAAAGAGAAGTCTCCCACTACCACCATCCCCATTTTCATTAAGTATTCATCTCCATATCTTCAAAAATTAGGCTTAGATTACTACTTTGTTGTTTTTGTTGTTGTTGTTGTTGTTGTTTTCAATCTCATTCACTCTTGTCTTCCCTCTATAAAATACAAAGGCTTAGTTCTCTTTCACCTCACCTCTTTCTCTACACACATATTTCTTGCCTGGGGGTCAGCAAACAAGGGCCACCTGTTTTTGTAAATAAGATATAACTGAAATACAGTCATGTCCATTTGTTTATACTTGTCTCTGGCTGTTTTAGTGCCAGGACAGCAGAGTTGAGTAGTTGTGACAGAATCCATGTTGCCCACAAAGCCTAAAATATTTATTATTTGACTCTTTACAAAAATGTTTGTCAACTTCTGGCAGTCCCTGCAGTCTATGAATAAGCTGAGTTATAGATCAATATTCAGTGATTCCATTACCATAACTATCTAAATGCCATTCTCAACGGAGTTGAGTAATGTACTATGTGTACTTTTCCTTTCCTATACCTTTTGTTTATACTCACAATTGTAAATGCCCTTTATGTTTATTTGTTTGCTTTGAAGTACTTGTACTTAATACTAACTTTAACAAATTCTCCCCCAGTTGTGCAAATCTGTTTAAATGCATTAAGGTATCAATTTTATCTACTTGAAGATAATTTCTTTATGAGCTTACTGGCCTGCACCAATATAAACTGGTAGTGCTCCATCCTGAAGCACAGCCATCATCCTGGAATCTGCTTTCCTCATTCTGCAGGAGGGTCCTGTTGCCTCTATTCTATACTCAGTCTCCTATTTCCAGAATCTATGTCATTCACTTTCTTGATTTACTCTAATTTTGAAGGAGCACATATTCCACTATCATCCCTACCCACCTCCACCACCAAAAAAAAAAAAAAAAAAAAAAAGAGGAGGTACATTTTTTGAGACTTTAAATGTCTGAAAATGTCTTTATTCCATCCTCAGATTAATTTATTGTTAGATTGAATGTCTTAGTTAGCTCAGGCTGCTATAACAAAACACCATAGATGGGGTGGCTAAATAATAGACACTGATTTCTCAGTTCTAAAGGTTAGAAGTCTGAGATGAAGGTACCAGCATGGTCAGATTCTGGTGAAGGCTCTCTTCCTGGCTGACAGGTGGCTGTTTCTTGCTATATCCTCACATGTAGAGAGAGTGAGAGTGAGAGTTCTTTAGTCTCTTCCTCTTCCTACAAGGACACTAATTCCATCATGGTGACTCCACCCTCATTACCTCATCTAAACTTAATTACCTTCCAAAGGCCCCATCATGTAATACCATCACATTAGGGGTTATGGTTTCAACATGTGGATTTGGGGAAGGGACACAGCCATACAGTTCATAACAATGGGTATAGAATTAACTGATGAAAACTATTTTTGCTTGGAAATCTGAGGACATTTCCCACTGTTTTCTATCCGTGTTGCTGTTGAAAAGACACCACTCTGATTCCTGATCATCACTGGGTTTTGTATGTTTTTATGTTGATAGTGTAAATGATCTATTTTCCCCAGTGTTTTAAAGTTTCACAATGTGGCTTGACCTCAGTAAATTGCTATTGTGTAGGTGGGGCACAAGTGGGCCCTTTTAGTCTAGAAGCTCACTTCCTTCCATTTCGGGACATTTTTGAATTATTTATTTGATGATTTCCCTTCTGCCAAATCTCTATTGTTTTCTGGAACTCCAGTTATTTGAAAGTTACGTCTTATGAATTATCCTCTAATTTTGTTTATCTTTTTTCTCATTTTCCATCTTGTGGTTTTGACTCATGTTCTGGAAATGGTTTCAACTTCATCTTCTAATCGTTTTGTTAATTTCTTAGTATTGCTGTCATTGTACTGTCACTGTATTCTCTAAATGTCACTTTTCCTTAGCCTCCTATTCTTTTCTGATCTCTGTGAGAATATTAATAATTATTTTCCCAGGTTTTATTTTCTCTACTATTCTGCTTCCTCCCAGTAGTGCTAAGTTTATGTGTTTTGGCCCCAGTCCGTCACATTAGATACTTCCTCAATTGACTGATTATTTCCTAGCTGTCCATTCATGTTTAAAAATGGAACACTGAGAAACCAAATAAAATCTTTTTGGGGGCCTACTCAGTCATGGGTTATAGGATAGTATGGCTGGACCATTTCTCCAAGTATCTTTAATGTTGCTATCTTTCATCTTTCCTCTTAGAAAGAGTCGAATCTGCAAAGAAGGCAGGCATAAATCTGGCTGCCAGTAGGATGGTAGACTTGGATCTCAGTATCTGACATGTAACTGCCACTTAATCACCCTGCTTTCACAATGATACCCCCACTTTCAACTGTGCCTGGTGTTACATCAGTTCAGAGACTCTCTGCTTTTAATATTTCCAGAAAACAAATCTGTAAACCTTTTGTCTACTGATTGGCAGTGTGCAGTGGAGAAGATGAGGGGTGAGGGAGCTGTGCAGCTTCTAATTTCATCATAAAGTAGACCTTGACCCAGTTCTATTTTAACTCTACCTTCAACCCCACTTCCAGGGGTACCTGGTAACACTAGTTATAAAGACTTTTGAGAGTTCTGGAACAGAAACTGGGTTGCTTCTTGACTTTTCCTATCACTGACAGTATTTTGCTTTATTTTGGCAGCTGAGTCACTTATCACTCATACAGTCTTCCCCACTGCCGTATTATTGTAGATGTCATATCCTCTCCTGCTCTTCTTGTCCTTATAAGGGTATTTTTCTCCTTTTGTGGATCCCTTACTGTCTCTTACATGATGTTTCAGAGTAGATAAAAACTAAGTAGTCAATCTGCCACCTTTCAAAGAAGTCTCTCCATATAAAACCAGTGAACATCACCCCTTTCTCTGTATCATTAACCTTCCCTACCAGACCTTACTCCACACAATGCTCATAGCAGTTACTCAGTAAATAGTAGACTGGCCCCACATCAGCACTATCTGAACGTTCGTGGAATGGCTGATACGTCTCCTCGCAATGTCATCACTTAAAGCCTCACCCATATTTACCTTCTTTGTCTTTCTTTCTCCAGACCAGGTGCCGTGCACGCTGAACCTGTGATCTCCAGATAGAGCCCTGCTCTCTCCCACATCTGAGTCTCTACATATGCTCTTCCCTGTAACTAGAATGTGAGCTTTCTTCTTTGTTAACTCTCAGTTTGAGATTAAGGTCTGTTCTATAAATCACTAACCCTTACCACGAAATTTTGGGTTATTTGGCCTTTGTGCACTCAGATAACTACGTATTCACCCTTTTGTAGCACTTGAAGTGGATATATACATATATATGTTTACTTACTTTTTCTGCCACTAGAATATCAGTTTGTCTAGAACAGAGTTTGTATTATTAACCTCAGGCATCCTCAAGCCCTAACTCAGTGCCTATAATTGGATACACTTTGGGAAGTAAAAAAGGGAGGGAAAGCTTGTGTGAAAAGTAGAAAGAGAGAAAGAGAGAGAGAGGAGGAATACAGGAAGAGAGGGAGGGATTAATCCTGGCATTCAGTTCCATTTGACCTGTTTCTTCACTCAACCCATTTTCAGTTCACATTTGACTATTTTCCATTAACTTGTATGGTACATTTTATTATTGCTCTCAAGCACGTGCTGCCCATCCTTATAGGAAGATTTTAGTCCCTACACCATTGGCAGCAGATTTAGCCATATGACAAGTCTTGCCCATTGAAATGTGAGTGGAAGTGATGTGCCACTTTAGAACAGAAGCTTTAAAACTATTGTGTGGTTCATCCATATTTCCTTGTTTTTACTACAAGACCAACAATGTCCCAGATTAGGATTGATTACTTTTTCTGGAGCCCGAAAAGAAGATGATGTGGAGCAGAGCTACAGTTGATCTGCAGTGAAGCTGACCTCCATGCAGATAGAGAAATAAACCTTTGTTATTGTAAGCCACAGATTGCACAATAACTTAGCCTAAGCTGAATTACAGGTACAGCTGGTGACATTGCCATGGGTATTCAATACAAGAAGTGTCATAAAATTTGAGAACTTAACAGTTAAAGAAGGTCGTCTTATTAGCCTCGCATCCAATAGAACAATCTTCTGCCCAGTTCCCTGGGCCTTTTAAATTCTGCTCAAATTCCTTTGATATCAGGGAAGGAAGTTGATCAGATTGTAGTTCAGTTCATTTCATTACTGGAATTCAACTTGTTCAAATATTCCAGTTGGTTTTCCCCAACTGGTTCTAGTTCTGCTACCTGGAGCCACCCAGAACAATTCACTCTGTATTCCATTGCACAGAACTTCTTCAGTTTTTAGAAGTTTAGTCATGTCCAAACTAAACGTTTCCTGTCCTTATTTTGTTAAAGGACTTAGAAGATGAGACTGAAGCTCTTCTGACTCTTTAGGATGAATAAAAATGTTCTTTCTAGTTCAAGTGTCCTCTGATTCCTTGTATATTCCACAAATGGAAAGAGTCCTTTACAAATAAATTTTCCTCAGATTTACAATTTTAAAATTCACAGAAACATGCAATCAATTAGCTTGACTTTTAGCAAAATAAATTACAAATATTTTACCAATGTGCTTTCAAAAAAGCCTTTTTTAAATGCACATGATTTGGTTAACATGTCTTAAACTAAGGCACATTTTAAATGCTTCCAGTCAAGAGGAATACAGCCCTATGTAGATATCACTGCATTCTTAGGAAACCCATAATGACTTTATTCTAATGAGCTTTTCACTGAGTTATGCATTGTGTTGCTTTTGAATACCCAAAGAGGCAATTGTTAGAAAAAACAGACTGATCAACTCCAGAAGGTAGAAGAAAGCCATGGTCAAGTAACAGCAAAAAAGAAATTTACCTTTGAATAAACAGCTTCCTTTCTCTCATTGATCCTTTCTATTTAATTACAAAAGTAAATCATGGATGTATACTTATCACGACAAATTCAAACACTGTTGAACTCTACCAAGTACACTGTCCAATAAAGCTTTCTGTGATGATGGAATGTTCTGTATCTGCACAGTTCAGTACAGTGGCCATCAGCCACCTGTGGCTATTGAGTGTATTTGAAATGGAACCACTGAAGCAGAGGACCCGATTTTCATTTTTAATTAATTTTAATTAGCTTAAATTGAAATACCCATAGGTGACTAGTGGCTACCATATTTTACAGCATGAATACAGAATAAAAAGTAAAATCACATTGATCTTCAATGTCAATAAGAAGCCACCAGCACTTTGGGAGGCCGAGGTAGGCGGATCACCTGAGGCCAAGAGTTTGAGACCAGCCTGGCCAACATTTGGTGAAACCCCATCTCTACTAAAAACACAAAAATTAGCCGGGCGTAGTGGCAAACGCCTGTAGTCCCAGCTACTTGGGAAACTGAGGCAGGAAAATTGCTTGAACCGGGGAGGCAGAGGTTGCAGTGAGCTGATATCGTGCCACTGCACTCCAGCCTGGGCAACACAAGACTCCGTCTCTTAAAAAAAAAAAAAAAAACCACGATGTCACTGCTAATAGTTTGGTATATTCCTTGGTCAATTTTGGGGGTAGTATGCTATCTGTTATGTCTAAGCAATACAGTGTCTTACTGCATGTGCTCTTTTTTTTTTTTTTCTTTTTTTTTTGAGACGGAGTCTGGCTCTGTCGCCCAGGCTGGAGTGCAGTGGCCCGGATCTCAGCTCACTGCAAGCTCCGCCTCCCGGGTTCACGCCATTCTCCTGCCTCAGCCTCCCGAGTAGCTGGGACTACAGGCGCCCGCCACCTCGCCCCGCTAGTTTTTTGTATTTTTTAGTAGAGACGGGGTTTCACTGTGTTAACCAGGATGGTCTCGATCTTCTGACCTCGTGATCCACCCGTCTCAGCCTCCCAAAGTGCTGGGATTACAGGCTTGAGCCACCGTGCCCGGCCTGCATATGCTCTTGAGGGCCGTAGCCTATATTTCAATTCTGTGTCTATTACATATTAGATATGTGACCCTGAGCAAGTTCATTAACCTCTCTGTCCTCAGTTTCCTCATCTACAACATGAGGCTAATAACAGTAGCTACCTCTTAGGGATCTTATGAGAAGTAAATTATTCAATACGTTCAAAGACCTTAGAACAGTTTCTGGTACATAATAAGCACTAAATCTTATTGAATATTAGTATTAATATTATTGTATACACATTATTCTTTGGCATATTTTGCATTTTCTGCTTCAGAAAGCTTTCCATGTGCGAACACATATACCTACCTTATTTTTTTAATGTGAGCTTTGCTTTTAATTATAGAAGTAACATATGCACATGATTTTAAAAACCAGAATAGTAAAAATCTCCTGACTTTGATTTTCAGAAAGAGTAGAGTAGGTAATTCAGATCGATTGTCCTCTAAGATACTGGAAGAATCATATCAAACATTTTTTAACTGTTTAGAAGAACTTAAAAGTTAACAAAACTGGAGAATTAGCAAGCTAGTATTTGGGGGAGAACAGAGGTACAGGGAGAAGAGCCCAGTCTTTGGCACTGATGTTTCCCTGACAGACTAACAAGGGATCCAAATGTTGGGATTATCAATTATCAGTGAAATAACTGTGCTTATGCTCAAGGAAATAAAAGGCAAGATTCAGAATTTCAGAAGAGAACTAGAAACTATAGAAAAGAATCAAGTGGAAATCCTAACACTGAAAAATACAACAAAATAACAAAGATAAATTACTCACTAGATGAATTCAAATGCAGATTGGAAACATCTGAAAAGCAAATTAGTGGCTTAGAAGTAAAGTTAGGAGAAAATATTCAGCATAGAGCATGGGGAGATAAAAGGATAGGAGAAAAAAAAGCAGAAGCAAGGGTATGCATCAATCAGGGTTCTCCAAAGAAACAACCAATAGCATATACAGAGTTATATATAAGGGGTGATTGGTCTCACATGATTATATAGGCTAAGTCCCGAAATGTGCCACCCGCAGTCTGGAGAACTAGGGAAGAGACAGGTGTAATTCAGTCCCAGCCCAGAGGGCTAAGAGCCGTGGGTTAGGGTGGGGGTGGGGGCTGGTGTAGGTCTTAGAGTCTGAACAAAAAACATCCAGGAGAAGATGGATGGTTTTTGTTTTTTTGTATTGTTTTGTTTCCCTTTTTCTTACTTCTTATTTCATCCGAGCCCTCCACAGATGGGATGATGCTGGCCCACACTGGTGAAGGTAGATCATCTTTATTAAATCTACCAATTTACATATTAATCTCTTCTGGAAATACCCTCACAGGCACACTCAGAAGTAATGTTATACCAGCTATCTGGGCATTCCTTAATCTAGTCAAGTTGACCCATAAAATTAACCAGCACAGGGCAAAAGATATTCAGGATTCTGTGAAGTCTAATGTGTTTAAATGAAATCTTAGAAGGAGTCAAGATAAACTATAAAAAGACAGTAGTATTTGAAGAGAGAATGGTTGAGAACTTTCCAAAACATATGCAAGACATCAGCCAATAAGTCAATAAGCCCAATGGACCACAAACAGAAGGAGCCTAAATTAAAAACAAACGAACAAAAACATCCTGTGCATATAAAAACTACAGCAATGCAAAGACAACAAGAAAATCAGCTGAAGAAAAATGTTAGCTAAACCTTCTAAGGAGTAACAATAAAACTGAAAGTTAATTTCTCAACAGAAACAATAGAAGCCAAAATCAGCTGAATGGCCTCTTAAAAGTGCTGTAAGAGAAATAAAAACACCGTAAACCTAGAATTTCAGTGAAAACATCTTTTAAAAACAAAGGTTAAAAAAAAAGGCTTGCAGAAAAAATCTGACAGAATTCATCACCAGTGGACTCTCACCAATGGCAATACTAAGGGCTCTCTAGAGGCAGAAGAAAAATTATCTCTGTGGAAGGCTAACACGATAGGGCAGAATGAAGATCAATAAAAATAGGGATAAGTCTATATAAATATTGAGTTATGAAACTGGAATAATAAAGTCTCAAGAGGTTTAAAGTATCTTTGAATTAAAATACACAGAGAGAGTAAATGAAAATTAATGTGTGCTAAGGTCCTTGCATTATTTTGGAGGGGGAAATTTCCAATTAATATTAAACTTTTATAAATTAATGATGCAAGTTGAAATATCTAGGGAGATCATTCTATTTCTAATTCATAGAGTTTTTATGATAAATAGATTTTGAAGCCTTTCAAATGGTTTTTCCAAATCTTTTAAGACTATCATCTAATTTCCCTCCGCTTAAATTATTAATGTGGTAAATTCATTAATGAAATTTTCAACATTAAACCAATCATGAGTCCCTACAATATAACAATTTTGACATCACCTACTATATTTTTATGTATATTGTCCTGATTAAATCTGCCAATATTTTGGGGATTTTGTAATATATTTGCACCTAGGTTTATAAGTTAATTGACTCACAATTTACTGTTCTTTTACTATCTCTGCCAACTTTTGGAGCCAGGGTGATTTTAATACTATAAGTTGAACTGGGAAGTGTTCCATTGTTTTCAGTTGTCTAAATGACTTTGAAAAAAATTGATCTTATCCTTTACTTTAACATTTTAAAAAATTATCTGTAAAACTACCTGAAGCTATTTGTTTTATTTTGTTTTGTTTTGTCATGGAAGGATTACTTTCTGTTTTCATTATACCAGTTTTGTTCAATTATATTTTGTGCATGTGTGTGCTTTATCATTTGGGGGTCCCGTTTCAAAGAACTAACTTTTGGTTATGATGATCTTATTTATTATGTATTTGTTTTCTGTTTCTTTACCTTTAGCTCTTACCTTTTATTATCTCATTACTTCTCTTTTTCTTGTAAATAACTCTTTTGTTCTTTTTTGAAGTTCTTAGCTTTGACACTTAGCTCATTAAATTTCAGCCTGTTCTAATAAAAGTTGTGAAAAATACTTATAAAGGCTGAGTGTGGTGGCTCATGCCTGTAATCCCAGCACTTTGGGTGGCCAAGGCAGGCAGATGTCTTGAGGCCAGGAGTTTGAGACCAGCCTGGCCAAAATGGTGAAACCCTGTCTCTACTGGAAAAAAAAAAAAAAAAGAGCTGGGCATGGTGGTGCATGCCTGTAATCCCAGTTACTGGGGAGGCTGAGGCCGGAGAATCGCTCAAACCCAGGAGGCAGAGGTTGCAGTGAGTGGAGATCACGCCACTGTACTCCAGCCTGGGCGACAGAGTGAGACTCTGTCTCAAAACAAAAGAATAAAGAAGACTGATATAATTTTTTCTTAAGTATTGTGTGAGCTTTGTCACAAGTTTTGATATATAGTATTTTCATTATTATTTAATTCTGAGTATTTTTTTTTCTCCGTATGATCGATTCAGAGATGCCTTACATTTTCCAAAAGAACTACTTTTTTTATCCCAAGTTTCTTTTTCTTTTTGTAAATGTCCTTATAGACATACAGTGTGGTGTGTATGATATAGATTCTTTGGTATTTCGGAGCTGTTTTGTAACCTAAAGCATGGTCAATATTTGTAGAAGCTCCACGTGTGCTTAACAAAAATATGCTTGCTTTAATTAATTGGTAAATACTTCTAAATGCATCTGTATTAAATCAATCCCATTAATTGTGTTGTTTAGAAAACAATTTACAAAATCAATTGCATTTCTGCACACCAAAAATAAACAGTTAGAAACTGGAATTTTTAAAAGATACCAACCATTTACAATGGTATTTAAAAAATTGAGTACCTGACAAAGCATGTTAAGACTTCTGTGAAGAAAATTATAAAGCGTTATTGAAAGGCAGTAAATAAGATTTAAATAACTGAAGAGAGACACTTTGCTCATAGTTTGGAAGACTCAATATTATAGAAAAGTCAGTTTTCCCCATTATGTTTGTGTGTGTGTGCAAATTGACAAATGACTCGAAGTACAAATAACCAAGAATATTTAAGACAGGCTTAGGGAAGAATGAAATCTCAATATTTATTATAAAACTGTGATAATTATAACAGTATGGAATTGATGCAGGGAGAGACAAATAGATAAATAAGGCATTTTGGTCCTATAGAAATAGAGAAAAAAGAAAAAAAAGATAAATAAGGTAGTGTGGAAACCCAGAAACAGATGCAATATGAGTGTGTACTTTATGACAGAGGTGATGCTACAAATCAGTGGGGAAAGTTTTCTCAATAAATACAGCTGGAGCAATAGGTTATCCTTATTCAAAAAGAAAATAAATTTAACACCTACTTCTCACTATATACAAAACTTATTT